GAGACAGACTCCCACGGCTAAGCACTGAGATGAACTCAAGAAATCCAGTGACAGAGAGGGAGGACTGATGACCAAAGGGATTAAGACTGGGCTGGTTTAACCTCCAGAAACAGCTGACTTAACAAGGGTTAGCTCTTGAATCCCAGACTGATGCCTGGGAATCCAGCATGGGACTGATCAAGACCCCCTGAATGTGGGTGTCAGTGAGGAGGCCTAGGTAAACTATTGAGCCTTGGGCAGTAGATCAGTATTTATCACGGGTATACAAATGGCCTTTGGGCTCCCAGCCAACAATGAGAGATGCACTCTCACCCTGAACTCTTGGGGGAGGGTCTAGGCCCTGCCCAGGATGAAATGACAGACTATGGGCACCCCCATGGAGGGCCTCACCCTCCCTGGGGAAATGAGGGGATTTTGGAAGAGGGTTGGTGGGAAGGCGTGGGAGGAGGGGAGGGACAGGGAGAGGGACCTGGAATTGACTTTAAATTTAAATTTAAAAAATAAAATATAAAAAAATACAGTCGAACAAAAAAGTCAAAACATGAGAAACACAAAACTGGAAACCATAATATATAAGAATAAAAAACAGCCGGGTGTTGGTGGCGCAAGCCTTTAATCCCAGCACTTGGGAGGCAGAGGCAGGCTGACCTCTGTGAGTTCAAGACCAGCCTGGACTACCGAGTGAGTTCCAGGACAGACTCCAAAGCCACAGAGAAACCCTGTCTCAAAAAACCAAAAATAAAATAAAATAAAAAATAGCCGGGCGTTGGTGGTGCACGTCTTTAATCCTAGCATTCGGGAGGCAGAGGCAGGTGGATCTCTGTGAGTTCGAGGCCAGCCTGGTCTACATAGTGAGTTCCAGGACAGTCTCCAAAACAATGCAGAGAAACCCTGCCTCAAAAAAAAAAAAAAGCCTTGGGTAAAAAATGTCCAACCAAAGCAATATAAAACAATTTCTTTTTAATTTCCAAAAATGCCATTGAGTCAATTTTGTGCTGGCCATCAACTGCCCTTAAGGATGGTTTGTATGCCCAAGGAGTCTGCTGGAGAAAACTGAGTTTTCCTTTGTGAGCAATTATCATCTGGAGATTATGAAGGCTTGTGCACCCCATCTGACTTGCACCTATGCATGCTGCCACAGTCTGGGAATTCATTTCATGTGTGCTGGTCCTGTTGTGTCCTCCGATTCCCGTCTCTTACGCCCTCTGCTTCTGAAGGCTTCCCTCAGCTCTGAGGGGAGGGATTTGATGGAGACACCCCATCCTAGGGATCAGCGCTCCAAGGTTTCTCGATCTCTGCCTGTCCTGGTCATATCTGCATTTGTTCCCATCTCCTGTAGAAGCTCCTCTGATGATGGCTGAGCAAGGCGCTGACCCATGTCACTAGGAGTCATTTTACACCTACATTCCTTTTGCAGTTCAGTGGTATTTGGTTTTCCCTTAAGTCCAGGTTGTTTGGCCACAGGAGCAAGGTCAGTCATGAGTTCCCTCTCATGGAGCAGGTCATAAGCCTTGTGTTCTTTTTGAAAATAAAGCGAATGGGCGTATTCTGGGCTTAAGGGGCATCCTTTAAAGTGAGAGCTCATACTTCTATGATGTGTCTAAAATTTTCTGAGAACTTCCCTCTGATACCATCCTTTCTTCAACCTAGGTCTCTGTGTTTCTCTGTCTGGTTCATTCCTTTTTCTCTTTCTTTTTTTCCCCTGCTGACTTCTGAGTGTTCCTTTGCTTTCTATGGTGGAGGAAAAGCCTAGCCAAAGGCCAACCACCTTTCCCCACATATGAGTCAACTTCATGCCATCTACCAAGTGTCTACCTCTTGACTACAAGAGAGTGTCTTTGTTGAACACGCAGCGGTGTAGATCTCATTGTGATCGTGGCCACCACTTTTGCTGCAGAGAAAGGCATTGCTCTCAAAGAATGTGTTCTTACCCACAGCCATGACCTTCAAAGTTCTGTGGCTAAGTTACCTGGAATGTTGGTTGCCCTTTTGACTGTCAGAGATCATGTTTTCTTTTCTTTATCATGGTTTCACTAGAGACCAAATTCTGTTTTCAAGACGGGCTGTCACAGAACAAAACTAACATCTGCAAAGACAATAGATGACAAATCTAGAAGGAAGCGTATTGGGGATAATAAAGTTCCCAAAAGAAAGCACAACATTATTTCATCATACTAAAATTACAATGGGAGCATAGGACTTGATAGCGCCAAGCCATCCAGGCAGCCACTCTGTGGGGTCCACTTCCCCTTTCCACAGCTAACAGAGCCATACAGAAGCACTAAGTAACCACGCTACACCCTTGTTATTATTGGTATTCATGCCAGCAGTAGCAGCATTCTGAGAAGTCTCCACAGAACCCTAAAGGGCCATAAGCATCTCGGTATGAAAGAGCCATGGTGCCCCGTGCCCTGAGATTGATTTGCCATGCAATGCCCAGACTAAGATGTCTGTAAATAGCGTATTGATTGACGCTTGACTGTGAAGCGGCTCCTGGGAGAGTACAAAAAGTCAAAATAATGAAATTGCTGAAAATTACTTGTTGATATACTAGGGTCACCAATAAAACAGTCATCTGACGCTAGTGGTCATCCTTGCACAACCTGCCCCATGGTTCAGTAAATTATTGATCCTGGAGCCTGTTATGTAAAAAGAGCCATGATAAAAAGATGACGATCACAGAGGTCGTGGTTCTGAAATTATTGTGCAATGTATATGTTGTCCTAGACTGACTTTGGCCAGCATTAACATTGTAACACCACAAGCACAGAAGAGATATTGAGTCCCTTTTCATCTCTCCTTGATACATTATGCATAGATTATATATATATCCTGCCCTCTGATGATAGCTTCTCATTTTTTAATTAAAAATATAAGGGTATGATGACATGAGGGTTGGCAGATCCTTTGTCATGAAGTTACTTTTAGTATATGAGCATGTCTTCACTCCGTGAGTAGATTTGTTTCTATCCTCTGTGGAGTGCAGATGTTTGTATTTCATCATCTCAGATCAGCCAGGACTGATTCTTTCTCTGGAACTTTGGAACAAAGGGTCACTCTGTTTAAATGGGAAGTTTAATCCTCTCTTCTATAAATATTGAATAGTTCTCACACTTGCGTTGTTTTAAGAAAATGTGATCAGAGGTGGTATGCTATTTACTTTTTCGCTCTGACAGAATCACTCGAAGAAGCAAGCAACTTGTGGATGGAGAAGTTTGTTTTGATTCATAGTTCAGGAGATGCGGTCTATCGTGTCAGGGAGTACAGGACAGCAGTGTAATGGCAGGTGCCTGCTTACTCTGGTATTCAGGAAACAGACTTAAAATGAGGTGCTGTACTTGACACAAGCCCTTCACATGAAGGTTTCCAATGTTCTGCTTTAAATGCCCCCAGAGAACTTCGAATTTATCAAATAAGAAGCCCAGCTTTCTTTATCCCCGAATTCCTCACATCCTTATTATCCGTAACTATAACAGATGCTGCAGTGAACACCGGGAAGAATGAGCTCTTACAAATGAGTAAATTTGTTATCACGGCAAATAGAAAGCAATTTCCTGAACTGTTGCGAGATGGCAGGCTTTACCCCACCTCGCTGCCTGCATACTCTAGAATGTTTTGAAACTAGCCCATGCCCAGGTTTTAGCAAAGGAGGTATCGTTCGTTACACAGATGTTCCTCTGAGCCCATACTCTTTGTATTTTCCATCCACTTACTTTTCACCAGGTGTCCATTCATGTCTGTTGGCCAGCAGGGGCAAGAATGAGGGGCTGGCGGGAAAGGAGGAGGACGTTTCTGCACAGGGTGAATCACAAAGCACACTTTCTAGGGGTTTGACTTAGTTTTCCTTTTAGTATATAAGCACATTAAATCAGAGTCCTAAGCCCAGAGTTTAATGGTTCATCCTCTCTTCCCCCAAGATTACAGATTTGTGTGTGGTTGTAAGAAACTGTACAGAGAGGGATATCTGTACACATCTCTTTCCCACAATGGCAATATTGTACATACCTATGGTACAATGCCACAGCCAGAAAACTGATGTCAGTACAGGCCATTGGCCACATTCGCATTGCACTGTCATCCGTCACGTGTGCAGATTGTGTGACCACAATCACAGGCAGCATGAAGAAGGCTTGCACTAAAAGGAAACTCGTGCTACCCCTTTGTAGCCATAACCACTTCCTCCATCACCCGTCCTTCCGTAACCCACAGCAGCCACTAGTCTGCTCTACGGCTCTACAATCATGGCATTTGAATGCATGGCCTTGTACTGTCTGCAGTCTACTGAGATCCAACCTTCTCTTTACTCTACCACAGTCTCCCCTACCAATATCTCCTGATCCTGAAAACACACTTTGTGAATCTGATCTATTACTTCGAGTACAGGGCCATCTAACATACAAACGTTTCATAATTAAATCTAAAACTTTCATGAAGTGAAGGGAAGCTTTCCTGACTTTTGATGTTAACTTTGAGATTTCGTAACAAAAAAAAAGCCCATGAGGAGAATAAATGTATTTAAATAGCATTTATCATGATAATTTTGTGAATTTTTTTAAAGCTAATAAATCCTGTTTGCTAGAATCATGGGGGTTTTTTTCTCTGTTATAAATGCCACTAACACGTTGCAGGGACACTCCATCAATGTCAGAAGAAGATTAGAACAACTGCAGAGGATATTACAACCAAGGAGAGGTTTTATATATCATATTGCAAAGTCAAAATCTTTTTATTATACTGTCATTGTATCTCAAATAAGGGGTTGAGGAAATTAAGATCTAGTGCACAATTTTTCTTTGCCTAGAAAACTGATGACAGCTAGAGGTATCTCTCCTCTCTCCTCTCCTTTCTCTCTCCCTGTCCCTCCCCCGTCAATCCCCTCTTATTGCCTCCTGTCTGTTGGTTGCCATGTTCGGCCTGTTTCTAAAGGGAGAATAATGCATGTGTTGTGACTTCCTGATCCTTCTATATTTTCTGACCCCCCCACCCTTTTTTTTCTGTAGAGTGTGAGCCAATCGAAGCAATAGCAAAGTTTGACTATGTCGGGCGGTCTGCTAGAGAGCTGTCCTTTAAGAAGGGTGCGTCCCTGCTGCTGTATCACCGAGCCTCTGAGGACTGGTGGGAAGGCAGACACAACGGGATTGACGGGCTTGTGCCTCATCAGTACATAGTGGTGCAAGACATGTGAGTAGTCCCAACTTTGCAGTGGAGTGTTTTTGTCAGAAGGGGAAGGGCTAGGAATTCAACCCAGGATTTTGTATATGCTAAGCAAGTGTTCATTTGAGCCCAGAGATTATTCTTAAATTGAAAGACCAAACTTCACTGGGCAAGTTTTTCACCTTCTTGGTGACTTTAATGCTAAATGATTAAATCACTGTGCATCGTTCATCTGGGAATTTTCTCTCTTGCCATTGAGAAATCTACTCAAATTGGCAATGCATTAGGAAATGTACTCAAAGAAACCAAGGTGAGACCGGTCGGTTGGTAGACTATTTTGTCTAGCATGTACAAAACCATGGATTCCATCTCCAGCAGGTACCATATAAACAGGTGGTGATGCTGTAATCCTAGACCTCAGGAGATAAAGCATGAAATGCAGGAGTTGAAGGCCATCCTTGGCTACAGAGTGAATTCAAGACCTGCCTGCTAGAAGTGAGACCCTGCTCATTAAAAAAAAGAAAAGTTTGAGGTTATGCTGCAGGCTGGTTGCTGACAGCTCAGAATCAGTTACTATTCATTTCCCAAACTGGAGCAAGAGCTCCTGGGAGGCATCTTTTGACCCTGTCTCAGAGAGCCAGCCTCTGCAGAAGGTGACTTTTAGTGTTATCATGACAATGGTGATTCCCAAAACGGCCCATTCTTCTCTTGATGTCTGGCTGTTTCAATCTCCCCATCTCAAGAGGGAGGTTACAGGCTTACAGTCTAAGAGAGCATTTTGTTAAAGCGCTCAGTTTCACCAATGAGAAAGCTCTAAAACTTCCAGCATATTTAAGTATATGAGGAGGAGGAGGAGGTAATGTAAGTGAAGAAACAGCTTACAAAACAGCAGGTGAGTTAGAGCCCCCAATTTCTAAGTGCACTATTTCACAATTCATTGCCAACTTCAAGCAAATTTCCAAGGAAAAGAGAAATACACTATATGAAGTGAATAGAAACCCTTAATGATGTACATAGCTTTGGAAATAATAAAGTGTGCTCATAGAAACTGAATAAACATGTATATCTAAACTACTAAACAGAGAGGCCCATTATCCATAATATAAATACTGTATATATGCACGTACACTCACATACACACACTCATAGGCATTTTAGACACAAGAGCAAACTAATGAAGACTATCTCCCACAATCCTAACCACAGTTGCCTCTTGGTATAATGTAGTTTTTGTTGTTTTCAAAACTATGAGCTCTAACAGTCCTGAATCTCACTCTGTAGACCAGGCTGACCTTGAACTCAGAGATCCACTTGCCTCTGCCTCCCAAGGACTGGGATTAAAGGTGTACACCACCACACCTGGCTGGCATGGTGTGTAATAGATGATTATTACTTACTCTTTTCAATGCCTGAAATTTTCTTGCAGCATAATTGTGTTTAGAATGAAAATCTACTTTAGGGTGCTGGGAGACACTCAAGTTTAAGAACACGTGCTGCAGAGAGCTTTAGTTTGTGAACCACCACACTTGGATGCTGGGAACCAAACACCTGTCCCTCAGTGATAGTAGGTAGGGTGCCCTCCTGTGGCCTCCATAGCATCTGCACTCACCTGCAAATACTCCCACACAGGCACACACCCCAAACCTACAAAACAAGGAAACTAGAAGGTATCCTAAGTTAATAAAAGACTTAACATGAATGCCATCCCTTATTTTTGTTCCTACTCATCGAGCCAAAGGCTCTCACGCTTGCTTCCCCTTGTTTCAGGGACGATACATTTTCAGACACTCTGAGCCAAAAAGCTGACAGTGAAGCCAGCAGTGGGCCAGTGACTGAAGACAAGTCATCATCCAAGGACATGAACTCTCCCACTGACCGCCATTCTGACAGCTATTTAGCCAGGTGAGTGACATTTGGTCATCAGCTGCTAACCTCCCTTCTCCAGGGCCTATGAAGAGCAACCAATACTCAACCTTGACATATTACCCAGTATCATAAGATTTTTCTGTTTTCTTCTTTGGTGAATGTCTAGGCAAAGAAAAAGAGGAGAACCACCCCCTCCAGGAAGACGTCCTGGCAGGACCAGTGATGGCCATTGTCCCCTCCATCCCCCGCATACTCTTTCTAACTCTTCAATTGACCTGGGGTCCCCAAACCTAGCCAGTCACCCCAGGGGCCTGCTGCAAAATCGTGGCCTCAACAATGACAGTCCTGAGAGGCGGCGGCGCCCAGGCCATGGCAGCCTGACTAACATCAGCCGGCATGACTCCCTTAAGAAGATCGACAGCCCTCCTATCAGGAGGTCTACATCATCAGGCCAGTACACAGGCTTCAATGACCACAAGCCACTCGACCCAGAAACAATTGCTCAGGTAGAATGCTTTTAACTGGATGCTGTATTTTAAGTACTCAGGTGTGGTGAAGGCAGTATGAAAGATTTTAAAACCTGTAAGCTATATTTTCATATAGAAACAACTAAAGAAAACTAAGGAAATAGTCTCATTGACTAATTTAAAGCTTGGCCATGAATCTCCTGATGATTCATTCGCTACTGGAAGATTAGATTCTAGGAATATTAGATTCATATTGATTTAAATAGATGTGGCAGAAATGTAGGAGCCAGGACATTCATACCCATCATTTGTGAAGAACCAGGAAAATATTGAATGAGAAAGAACCTGCTAACAGAGCCTAGTACATTCAAAAGCCTGCAAAACAGATGGTTAGAACAGGACGGAAAGCCCAGAAACAAAATAAATTAGTATAAAGACCAAAGATAACACTTCCAACTTGGCAACTGATAGATTAGTCAATAAATAATGTAATAAGTAATGATTAACTATTTAAAGACCCCTAATGCTGGGTCCTATGTACCTCCTATCTTCCCTTCCCAACACAGACTCCATAGAGCATCCCCGTCATTCATTTCTAATGATTGGACCTAACAAAGCAGAGGTAAAACAGTATGCATGAGAAACAAATAAGAAACTGGACTAGTCCAGACAGACAGACAGACAGACAGACAGAAAGCAGCACCCAGAAGTCCTTGGTATGACCCATTCCCAAACTATTTTGGGTGTCCTAATGATATGACAAAGAATTTTGGATGGTAGCTTAGGCTTTTTGAGTAGTTTGACACATTTTTAAACAATGAATTTTACGTATAGAGTAATTTCTCAGGAAAAATCTAAGTCTTAACCCTTGGGGGTAAAGTTACGCAAGGTCCTTTGAAATCTTTTTAGCTCCATTTGAGTGTAGGTCAATGTCATGATTTGAGAAACCCCCAGTGTCACTGCTATGATAAGTAGGTGAAAGGGGATTGGGTTTAGAGACAGATTTAGGAGCTTGAGGGCAAAAAGACAAATGGTTTAACCCTTTTGCTGCCAGAACCAGGAAAATTCTAAAGACAAAAGTCAACAGGTAAAATTAACTTCCATACATTCTGTCTGGGGCAAATAATTGGTTTTTACAGTTTTTTATCCCTATGTTTAACAGTAAAGGAAATGACACATGAAAGTAATTGTTTGAAATGTATTATATATTACCTTTGTAAAATGGCTTCTAGCTTTGTCCTTTGTCCATCTATCTCCAGCCTTCAAAGATTCCCATGCGGATGGAGACAAAGGAGCATGTCATAGTGACGTTCATACAAAAGCATGCAAGTCCTTTTATTAAGCAAGTCAGTGGGATCCCTGAAGTAGGCTGGGAGATTATGCCATCTACAGATGATCACCGTATCATGATTGGCTTTATCCTTTATAGGATACTGTTCATTTAATATGACGTCTTTGCTTATTCATTTAGCAAATGCATATTGAGCTTCGATGATCTGTGAAAGGCTTTGTTGAACAAGTTAAACACGGCTGTGCAAAAGACATATTGAAATGTTTTTATACCCACACGTAGAATTTCCACCACTTCAGTGGTTAGAAATGTGTACGGGTGAAGCTGTAGCATTTCAATCGACTTACTCTGTGAAATATGCTCCTGCTTGAGCTGTGATCTTTCTCAAGGATGGACAGCCCTTGCTCACAGTGTTCCAAAGAGTGATTCACATAATGGCAGCCCTAGAAATTTTTAACACTGTGGGAAAGGTATTTCATGTTTCCGTGTTGTCAGCCTAAATGACAACCAGACACATTCTTCCAAGAGCAGCGGTGTTGATTTGGGAATGTGTTGCTGTAATAAACCAGGGCCATGTTCAAGGAAGTGGGGGCCACAGGTGGAAGAGGCTTCCATTATTTCCCAAGAGTGGTCCTTGGCTGCAAGGACTAGTAAGTGACAAGGCTGGCATCTATCCAAGGCTAGGCAGCTGTCCCTGCTGGGTCAATGTCTTTGCAGAAGTATTTTCTGTGTAAGAGCCTTTGTCAAGGTTATAGGTCTGGCAGAGGTTTTGTGCATAGTTTTGCTTTTCTCTTTCTCTTTTTTAAAATCAGGCACATATGTATAAGATCCTCTACAACCTTCCATTGCCTAGTTTAAGCATGCCAAGTCTGCCTCCACTCTGACCTCAAATTTTTCATGAGAAAGATGACAAAGAAAGTAGGTTACCTGTCACTTGTCCCCACCCCACCCCCAAAAAAGAGGAAACCGTAATAAGGAATAGACTGCAGTAACCCATCCACCTGAACTGACTAAGGGAGTGCACTGATGTGCTCCTCAGAGAAGTGGCATGAACCCTAGACATCTTTAAAGCCAAGATAGCACTAGAGAAGAAAGTGAGCTTGCTGCCTCTCCTACGCTGTGTTTCTATTTCCTTCTTTCTTTCTTTTTTTTTTTTTTTTTTTTGAGACAGGGTTTCTCTGTAGGTTTGGAGACTGTCCTAAAACTCTCTTTGAAGGCCAGGCTGGCCTCGAACTCACAGATATCCGCCTGCCTCTGCCTCCCAAGCAACACCGCCCATCCAGTGTTTCTATTTTTGTGATGAAACTGTAACCAAAAGCAGCTTGGGGAGGAAATGGGTTATTTTATGTTTCAGCTTGTAGGCCAACATCCCAGGAAATCAGGACAGGAACTCAAGTGGAGCAGGAACCAACGCAGAGGCCTTGGCAGAACACTGCTTACTGGCTTGCTCCACCTGCTTTCTTATAACACCCAAGGCCACCTGCCCAGGGGTGTACCACCCACATGGACTGGGCCCTCCTCCATCTATTACTAATTAAGAAAATACAGCACAAGCTTGCCGATAGGTCAATCCAGTGGAGGTATTACTCTAACCTGGATCAAGTTGACATAAAACTAGCCAGCACATATCCTGTCTTCCCCAATAACAGATTCAGAGCTGAGATAGACTTCTCATGGGAGAAGGTAAGTTCACTTGGGAAGTCCCCATTGCTACTGTCTGGGAGAGCCCCATGGTTCTCACAGCCTCCAGCGCGGTAGGGAGGGTCGCCCAGAGTTCACAAAGCTGTGCTGCCACAGAACTAGCATCTAGCCAAGAGGACCTAAGTTGTTGTGGCATAGCTCCATTTTAAAACTGGCCCCTCCTGCTAGAGTGTTTTCTCTAATGCCAGTAACCATACAGTATCTCCCTCTCTGTGTGTCTGCTACTGTCTACTGTGCTCACCCGAGTGGCTGTAACACCTTACCCCTAGCTACTCAGAGTCTAGGCCCAGTAGCCATCCGGGCATCAGTCTGATGTCCCCATTAGTCCACCCCACACACAACCTATATGACACACTGGTCTGTAGACAGCTGGGCACAGTTCTGTTTCCTTGCACCTGCAAGAGCCACGCCCAACAACCAGGTGGCAGCCCTGCCTACCTAAAGGCCAGGCAGATAGCTACAGCCCACAGTGCCTGCATGCAATCAGATACTGGCCCCACACCCCAGCGAAACTGTCATACCACTGCAATCACAAACTCCTGCAATCTGGACCAGTGATGCCATCATAGACATCACTGACAAGGATTAGAGATGATGTACACGGTAGTCACACGACTGAATCCCTCTGCAATCAAGGGCAACAACATCCAACAGCAGGTGTTAGGCCTCTCTGAAAAGAAGGAATAACCTATAAAAATTTGAAAATGTGAACATTACACTAGACATAAATATCAACAAAGGAACCAACAAAATATGAAAAGACTAGGATCACAGTAACACTTGTTAGCAGACTGTAAGGAAAAGGAAATTCACAGTCTTGAAAACAAATTCAAAATAATGGCCATTAAGAATTGAGGACAAGAGTAGACAATCAATTCAGAAGAAAAAATACAACCTTCCATGATGTATGTGATAAAAGAAAAAAAACAAAGATAAAAAAAATCATGAAACAAAAAACAAAAGTCTTACACCTCCAGAATTCACTAAGTGGAATCTAAGAAAGAAAAATACAGTTGAAGAGCCATAATACAAGACTACTGAGGTCACAATGATTTCCAGGAGTTCAAGATGGGGTTTCTGAATCAACCTAGTCAAAGCAAAACAACAGTAAACAACAAGTTTTTAAAAAGTAAATTACTAGGTTTTCTGCCTCCCCACAGTAAGTGTCTCTGCCAATACAGGCCAGGTTGAATTGAAAAAAATTTTTTTTTTGGTTTTTACGAGACAGGGTTTCTCTGTATTTTTTTGGAGGCTATCCGCCCAGCCCGGCCTCGAATTTACAGAGACCCGCCTGCCTCTGCCTCCCGAGTGCTGGGATTAAAGGCGTGCGCCACCACCGCCCGGCCGAATTGAAAAAATTTAACAGCAGGTTTATTGAGAGCAACTCCCAGAAGGTTCTCTAGTCCTAGAGATTATAGGTTGTAGGCAAGGAGTGATGACAGGTCCAACATAAGCTGGCTTTATGTCCAAGTATGGTCAAAATTGATCATATAGGCAGGGACTTAGACGGCTGACTACGTCAGGGGAGGAAGCTGCAGCAAGAATTTGGAACTGGGTTTTTTTTTGACACTTTTCCTTTGGAGAGAGAGAGAGATGCAACTTTCCGACCATGCAGGGGGTGAATGGAGATTCCTAATAGTGCCAGTCCCTATGGGGGCCATTGTCTTTCAAACCATCACAAATGTTTAATATTAAATATTCAAACATTATCAATTAGAAAATAATTTGAATGTTCCCAACACAAAGAAGTAATAAGCGTATGAGGCAACGAATAGACATCATAACCTAAACAGGTCATTCCACACACACACACACACACATATGTGTGTGTACAAATTTCTGACTAAATGTTTTTTATATTTTAATAATCCTGGTAATTATAAAGAAGAGTTTTCATACACAGAGAGAGAGAAAGAGATAATATCCATCAAGTTTTCACACACACACACAGATAATATCCATCAAGAGGGGTTGGTGAAAAGGCAGAATTGGTGAAGTTCTTGATGCACAACCATGAGGACATATGATGTTCCTTTCTCAGAACCAACTTTAAAAACCAGGGTGTGGAGCCGGGCGGTGGTGGCACATGCCTTTAATCCCAGCACTTGGGAGGCAGAAGCAAGCGGATCTCTGTGAGTTCGAGACCAGGCTGGACCCACAGCCTCCAAAACAATACAGAGAAACCCTGTCTCCTAAAAAAAATAAAAAATAAAAAAAAACAGGGTGTGGTAGTGTGTGGTAGTGTGTACTTGTAAACCCACCCATGGGGAGGCAGAGATGGGCAGATCCCTAGGGTCTGCTGGTCAGGCAACCCACTTTAAGTCAGGGAGTTCCAGGATAGGCACTCCTTACCCAAAAAAAAGATGAATGGCACCTGGTGAGTGACGCCTGAAGTTGACCCTGGGCCTGCAGATACACACACACACACACACAGATGAACTAGAATTCTGATCAATACCACACAAGTTAGAAGAGACCTCAATAGGTTGCCTAGAACTTCAGAATGACAGTTCCATTTTGCATTGCTGTAAGTATCATTTAGAATAAAACCAAATACTCAAGGTGGTGCTGGGCACACTGTACGAACAGACTATAGAGTTCAAACATGCATGCTCTTTACCAGTCTGTCTGCTTTGTTTCTACCCTTACGAGCCAACCCCTCTGTCTACGGTTTTTCTTCTTCACTAGGATATCGAAGAGACCATGAACACGGCCTTGAATGAACTCCGTGAACTAGAGAGACAGAGCACAGTGAAGCACGCCCCTGATGTAGTGCTGGACACCTTGGAACAAGTGAAAAACTCGCCCACCCCTGCCACTTCCATGGAATCTCTTAGCCCATTGCACAGCGTCTCCCTCAGGAGCTCAGAGCCTCAGATCCGCCGGAGCACCAGCTCATCCAGTGATACCATGAGTACTTTCAAGCCCATGGTGGCGCCCAGGATGGGCGTACAGCTGAAGCCCCCAGCCCTTAGGCCAAAGCCTGCTGTTCTTCCAAAAACAAATCCTACGGTAGGGCCCGCCGCACCGTCCCAGGGTCCCACAGACAAATCTTGCACAATGTAGAAACCGAGGTTGTGAGGGGAGGAAGTTTGAAAGTAAAGATGGATTAGTGACAAGAGTCAGTGACCTGTGACGTTTCTTAGTCTTGTGCTTATAACTGGAGATCTTTGGACTTTTCTACATTGTCAAATGTAATGATGTCTGGGACTAGCTAAATTAACATGGGCATTTGTATTTTGTAACTTTTTTAATAACTGGACCTATGTCATTTTAAAGACAATAGAAACACTTAGACTTACTTGAAAATCCAATGCTGCACCCCTTGTAACGAAGGCAACACCTCACCCCACATGGTATATGGCTTTGGATTTAGTGTAGCCCACAGGTGAGCATCCTGCAAGCAAGAGAGAACCCAAGTTCCAGGTCTTTCTGGAGCGTCACCTGGCGTGGTCTGTGACACCTGGGGAAGAACACCCAGAGTGGGGTCCAGCACCTGTTAAAAGTCACAGAGGGGAGCTGCAGTGGGACCTTCAGTTCATGGCTTGAAGGGGTTCAAGGATGGCCCCTTCTATAAATGTCATTCCCCTGGATCCGGGTTAAAGACTCAATGGAAGAGGGTAGAAGAAACTCAATACGGCTTGACCTGAACCTGGAGACAGCAAAGGAGACAGCGTCTCCAGAGCTGTGGGTATCATTCCCTCCACGGACGTGAGATGTTCAAGTCCACCTGCTACACATTTTCAAAGGACTAGAGCAGATGAATGTTGAGGACTTTCTGATTACACCACAAACTGGTGTAGTTGTTCAGTAACTGCCTAAGAAATACTTCTACCCTCCCTAAAACCCCACGTCCTCCTTGATGGCAATGGGAAAAGCAAATGGGAATGAATCCTTGGTTCCTTTATGCCACAGAGGCCCAATGGTCACAGATCAGAACCCCCAGCTCTGCTGCCCACATCTCTTTGAGCCAAGCCAGATCTGGCTACGGTACCGAGTGAGAGTCATGCCAGGCCACCATGGGAAGATGACCTTCTGGTGCCAGGATCGTTTCTTCCCAGTTTTGTACCTCAGAATCATGACTTCTGTTCTTGTCCTATTTGTGTTTGATTTGTTCTTTTGGATTTTGCCTGTGATCTCTACAGAAATCCTAGTCAAATGGACTCAATTAGGAACTTCTTTCCCTGGCATTTTAGCTGATAGCCATTGTTCTTTATCATATATTTACTATTTTTTCCTCTAGCTTAAAAAAATGGTAGATTTTGTGTTTAGTGCTGGGATTGAACCGGAATCCTCTCGCATGCAAAGCACACACACACTCTACCACTGAGCTATAGGCCTCCCCTCTCCACCGCCGTCAATCTGAACACTGTTTCTACTAGGGTACAGATCGCCCTCCTGGCAGCAGCAGCTGATGTCTGCATTAGCACAGTACTTCCTGATGAAGCAAGCAGATGGCTCAGAATGAGCCCCTTTGGACACACCATTAATTACCTTCTAGGCTTAATTTCAAACTGGCATGCCCACCTCAGAGTGGCACAGCGTCAACGATAATTCAAGCAGGAACAAATTAAGATCCATACCAAAAATCAAGACCATGACTGATGGCTACCTCAGTTTGCCAATCTAATCATTCTGTTGCAGGGGGGAAATATATGAATGGGATAGTCCCTTAAGTCACCCTCCTCCCTGCCCCCAGGTACTTCCTGGTATGGTAAGGTTTTAAACTTCGAGATTGCCAGATGGTAATGGTGAAAGCCTTTAATCCCAGCACTCAGGAGGCAGAGGCAGGCAGATCTCTGAGTTCAAGGCCAGCCTGGTCTACAGAGAGTGTTCCAGGACAGCCATGGCTACACAGAGAAAAATAACTCAAAATTTTCAGAACCATTCTTTTTGGCCATTTTGAAAAAGAAATCGTAGAGACCCAGCCAGGATTGAGCTTTTCCAGACACTGAGCTTTTTAAACAGACCCACCTCTGGTTTCCTTGGAAACTGCCCATTTATTAGAAAATACTGACTGTCAGAACCATTTTTTGTCTTTGATGAAAGATAGCCAACAAAAGGTGTAAGAAGCTTTTTGAATTTAGTTGTAAATACCTTTTTCTTAAGCTTTTATTTTAGCTTTTCCGATCTTACTACTATAACAAACTTCCTTCAAACAGCTCTCTGGCAATCCCTGACCTAACCCACCCCTACTGCCACCCCACTGTCTTCTGTGTGTCTATCTATGCCCCCTAGATCAGGACTTTGCTGCCTTTAAGGCCAAAGGCCAGGCTTTTGTAGACCCCCTGGAACCTTCCTTCCTTTACCCACACCCCCATCTTTTCTCCAGAAGTCCTATCGACATTTATGGACTTATGTCTCTCATATGGCAACAAAGCCTTCAGGAAAGCAGTCACCTGTTCTTCCTTTGCTTAATGATGGGTCAACTGTTTCACATCTGAAGTGGGTACCCTATGAGCCATGCACAGAATAATTTAAGATTCAGTGTCCCCTGCACAGAGGATCCTAAAATCTGTCAGGAGAGCTAAAAGCTGCCACAGCTGAGACAATTCACCCAATTTAAGTCACCCATGTAGTACCCAAGGAAAGGAAGGAAATGAACCGTGAGGGGTTCTGTCCTCTCCCCATTCCCAGATCTTAGAGTCCGTATACAGTTCAGGGACAGGATCATTTGATGAACAAACTATAGCCCTCAACAATGCCCGACTCCGTGGACAAAATATCCACCATGTGTTTGTGTCCTGTCTAAAGAACCCTGCCACAAATTTGCAAAACCCTTTGGTATGAGTTGGCAGTTTGAGGAATGGATTGGTAAGAACTGAGTGCATTTTTAAAGAGTATCTCAATATTCAAACTGTTGAGGATGTTCTGTGGAGCTCAAGCTCTAGTCGCAAGTCAACACCATTGTGCAACAGTTTTACTTGCGTTCACACAACATAATCCAACTTTGATGCCCCGTGATCCATAATTCATAATGAGGTCCCACTTACTGTACTATCTTAGTCATGAGTAATTATCAGTGGATAAAGGACTCCCAAGGGTCAGACAGTCTCTTGCGTTTTCTGTCTCCATACATTTGCCATTCCCAAAGTGGCTTTCTAATTTAATTAAGAAGAGTGGGGTGATGGTGGTGGTGGTCTCTGCATTCAGCAATTGCTCGGCCTCTGTTGTCTACAAACTGAAGGAAGCCATGATCTGACATCTGAAATCCAACAGTAAAGAGACAGAGTCCACCAAGAGCTCAGATTTGAGTTGATATTTATTCCTGACCAAGGTAGAAAAGACCACAAATGCAGGAAATTCATTTGGGATGCCACATCTCCTCTATTTGCCACTGAGACCCCTGAGAGTCTAGAACTGAAGGCTCTACCTATGTGCAAATAGAGGCCCCTATCTCAGACCCTCCCCCCAGAGCCCCACTCAAGCTCCAGCTGGGCTGGAGCATCAGGCTTGCATCAGGAAGACTTCAGCACAGATAGTAAAGCCAGAGGCTGAGTTTAGCTTTCACTCATCCTAGTATACTTTAACGTCAAAAGAAATGTCTCAGTGGTATAATCAAAATGGGTACCTGTATCTTTAAATTATATAGGGAGTTTTGTATGTTTAAATAATTGTACTGGGTTCCATAATGCTTATCTTAGAAACTAGTAAAAGAAAAATATATAAACTGTGCATCTGTGAATGCCCCTCCGTAGAGCGGTCATCTAAGTTCCGTGTGTAGCGTGATGGTTGCTGTAGATATTTAAAGTGTAGTAGGTGGCTGTGTTGACGGGAGGCTGCCCTTCTCCTGCATTCTTAAAAGTAACTCCTGCCCACATAACTAAAAGTCAGTATTGTCCTTTCTTGTCAGCTTGGTCAGTTGCAGTACCGGTAGCTTCCTGCTTGTGACAGTCACCTAATTGTGTCAATGTACATCTGTAGTATGTACATGTGAAAGTGCCTTCCTATCCTAGAGGAGTGTAGCCTTGCTCTTGTACTGTTGTTCACTATGTCCTGTCCATCAAGTCCCACTGCCCACTGGGGGGTTCCGCCACCCCCTCCCACCCCCGCCACGTCTTCTGGCCTCTGTGCTCAGTCGCGTGTGTCTTGCATCCATGTGGATTATCAGACTGTCCCGTTACCCTCATAGACGTGACCGTGCCTTTCTCGCCATCCACCCCATTGTTTCCCATCATGCCCCACTCACACTGCTGCCTGCCATCCCGTCCCCTTGCTCTATACTGGCTTTCCAGTGCACCCCCCTCCTCTCCGAGGTGAAGAGAAAGGGGGTGCTTTTCCAGTCTTGGAAGAAGAAAATGTTTTGTTAATCTGTCGTGAGAACGCACTTTTCTGTATAGTACTGTACTTTTTGGCATGTACCATTCATTACAGGCTTCAGTATACAGTCGGGTTTGTTCTTCAAGGAGTAGCTTTATAATAAATATGATAGTTCTGGCTACCTTTGTCTGCTTGTGATTTGCTCTGTGTTCCCAATTTGCCTCAACTATTATGGTGACCTAGATAGACTTCTGGTAACCATCAGTTCTCCTTTGGAGCAGTTGCCTACACCCTGTTAATCTTCTTAACAAAACAAAGTTAAATCGTTGGAAACATGAGTATGCAGAATTTGTTTAAACATGCATATGCAAGATTTGTTTTAAATGTGTTACGTGATAATTGCTAGCATATAAACCCATGCTGCTAATGTTGATTAAATGGATTCCCACAAGAAAACCCACCACTAAAGGGCCCAGACCCTCACCCAGCCCCCTCCTTTGGCAGCCATGACAGGCTGCAGAAAAGACCCAGGAAGACATAGGCCCCTGACTCAGCAACAGTGCTGAGCCCCTAACTTTGCCCTAATCACTAGGAAACCAGACACCCTCCATGTGGCAAGGAGCCAATCAGAAGTTGGTTGGCAGACTCTGGATGTGCTTTACTGATAATAGTGGAATGCAGGGTGTAGCAGCCGCCTTGGGAGGGCCTCTAGGCATAGCAACCTTCCTGTAGCTGCAGCTGACCAGTCCACTCAGGACAGGTTGCCCAAGCCTGGCGGTATACCAATCCTGAGACTGTTGCTGTGCAACCAACAGACCCCCCAGACACTCCTCTTGCTCTACCTCAATATATGCCCTGCCCCACTGCTGCTCAGGGTCCCTTCTGCTCTGCCTGCTGTGTCGGACAGATTCTTTGCTTTTGCATCAGATCTGGTCTCTTGGTGGTTGGGGGATTCAGAGTCTGGACATAACAACCACCAAAAAAAAAAAAAACCTGGGTGTGGTGGTGCAGGCCTTTAGTCCCAGTCTTGAGGAGACAGAGGCAGGCAGATGTCTGTGAGCTCTAGGACAGCCTGATCTACAGAGCAAAGTTCCAGAGCAACCAAGGCCACACAGAGAGACTCTGGGGGTGGGGGGAGGCGGGGAGAGGAGGAGGAGGAAGAGGCAATGATGATGACTTTGACAACAATGAAGAAAAAGTCCTGGGTGCAGTGTCTCATGCCTGTAACCTCAGCATGTCTGAGGCTGAATTTGAGACCAGCCTGGGCTACATAAATTCGAAACTAACCTGTACAAAGAGACCCTTCGTAGAAAAGAGGGAGGGAAGGAAGAAGGAAGGGAGCGAGCTGAAATATACCACCATTGCTGTCATCCTTACAGAGGAGAAAATTAGGACACAGAGGAGTTAGCAGCTGCTGTGGTCCAAGAGCTAGTTCATGGCGCAGCTGGGATTTGATCGCAAGCCTCCTGGTCCTGGAGGCTCCACTTAGAACAGCTGCTGATCTTCCCCTTGTAAGATAGTTGGGTTCCACTCCAAAGAAGAATACAGCTCCCACCTGGGCAGAATGAGCAGTTAGATGGACCTCAGCTCCCACCTCTACAGAAGGAGCACTGGGATCTCATCCAACTTTGTAACCTCAAAGCTAGCGTACTGCTAACGAACCCAGTAGAATGTGAGTAAGACGGGCCTGCCACCTCTGCCCTCTGCCCACCACATCAGCCACCTTGTCTGCCATTTCCTTTTATGAACCCCTAGTTTCAGTCATACTGGGTTACCTTTGTAAATAGGAAGCATGCTTCATGTGACCAGGGAGCATGTCTCTTGAGCTGTGTGGTCCCTCAATGTTTCTATTCCTTTCCTACCCCTTGCTTTGTCTCGTCCTCCTATACGCCTGTTGCACTCTTCATCTTTCAAAGCCCCAACTAAAACTCTCCAATCCATGAAGCATTCCCCCAGACTTCCCCCTGCCTCCAGTTACTCCTCCAGGCTTCACTGCACCTCTTTCAAGCAAGCCCACCTCTCTTCCGGTCATAAAGTGTGAACCAGACACATGTTCCCTCCCGGTCTCATGAAGAAGTAAAGCTCAAACCAAGCCAACAAGTAAATCAGCAAGCCCATGTCCAGTCTGATGACTGCTATAGGAACCAAAGCCCAAAGTGAACAGGGTGACACAGATAGACTGTCTGGGCGGGAGAGTCTAGATGGGGCCACTCGAACGTCACCTCTGAAGTGGTTGGTTTTGAACTGATATTTGCATGAGAAGAACCTAGCCATGTAAAAAGTGAAAGACTCAGACAAAGTGGATGGCACACGTAAATGTGCGCCACGCTCACGGGTGTTCAGGAGCAAAGACTGTCACTATGGCTCATTCCAGAGGACCCAGAGATAAAAACAAGGGCCATGAGTGGACAGCGACTGGGCAGACTTGGAAGTAGATGCTGAAATGGTATTCAAACAAGAACATGACCCTGTTTTTAAAACTGGGATGAAGTCTCACATCCACATCCATTAGGACAGTCACCATCACACACACACACACACACACACACACACACACACACACAAATAATTTGGGCAAGGATGTAGGCCAACTGGAAACTTTGGCACTATTGGTTGGAGGATAAAGTAGAAAACAGGAATTTTTGTAGGATCATATTCTCATTTCTGGACATTGATCTGACACATGGAAAGCCAGACCTAGAAGACACATTTGCACACCGCTATTAGTGACAGCAACTGGGTGTTGGGTAGTGGAAGAGGTTACAAGATAGGTGGTGTAGACTTAAAATGTAATCTTATTCAGGCTTTTCAAAACCAAAGTCCAGTCATGTGCTGCACTGTGAATGAACCTTGAGGATATTATGCTACATGAAATGAGCCAATCTTCTCACATTAAGACCAATACCCATGATTCTACTGATATAGGTATCCAAAGTAGTCAAGCACTTAGAAGACAGGTTCAAGTTCCCAGGCCTAGGGAGGAAAGTTGAGGAAGAGGAGTGATGGATTATAGATAGAGGATTTGTTTTTAAGGTGATGAAATGTATTACTGGGATCTCTACTAAAACCCACTGAGCTGTGCCCACTATTGTAGTGAAGAGTGTGCTATGGGAAGTACCTCCCTCTCAGTAAATAGAGCTGATGAAAGCTGCCCTGTGTGCCACAAGCAAGTCTAATGTATCAGGTGAAATCCTGGAGATTTAAATCAAAGACAAGACATCTGGCCATTTGTGCTAAGAGTGTGTGTGTGTGTGTGTGTGTGGTGTGTGTGTGTGTGTGTGTGTGTGTCTATTGCAAGCAGGGGGCAACCTTATATACAGACTTACAGCACAGTGGAGAAACCCCAGGTGTAAGAGCTCGTGTTTTCATAATTAGAGGTTGATGCCAGTGGGGCAAGGCCAAGGCTGTAGCCAGGACTAGAAAACAGGATGCACCTGTGGTTATTGGCTGACAAGCAACTCACAGAGACCCCATGGGGACTGAGGCCCAATACTATGTTACCTAAGAAAGATAAACAGTGACTCCTGTACATCACATGATGGCTGTGGTCTCTGTAATGGCATTCTAACCTGCTTCTTACTAATCCACTCTCTTCCTGCTTCAGAGTTCATCTCCATTCATCTCCGGTCTCCTGCTGGGGTGAGGGAAGGCTATCAGCCATGAAGCTCTGGGAAAACCATTGAGACCTAGCCACCTATACCCACACATACCTCCTGGTTTCAGCTTCACCCTCCAAAGACACATTTGAAATCACATTTTTGAGGCTTTTGGACAGCTCCTTGCTTTCTAGCTTAGGATCCTACTTTGTCCAAATGCTGAATCAATTTCTCCTGCCCCTCTCTCTCCCACCCCTACCCCATTTTAGTATCACAAATAAAAAGGTACTGAAAAAACCCAGCCAAAAGTTATACTGCTTTATTGGACTCAACCACTTTTGCATTTAGAAACAATGGGAGAAAATGTTTCATTTAATCTTGGTGTGACTTCAATGTATTAACAACAACAAAAGTGCTTTTAGAGCGCTTTTTTACCCAGCACATGTGAGGTTCACTCCCTTGCAACACACACACACACACACACACACACACACACACACACACACAGAATCTGTTCAGAATGAGCATAGTGTGACACAAGATGCACAACCTGAAAAGTTTTTACACCCTGATAAACCTCTCCACAGATGCTATATCCAAATCTGACCCAATCAAACCAAATTAGAAACTATCCCGGATGGCCTTCCAGCCCCTCAGAGAGGAGTTGAGAAAGGGAGACAGGAAAAACCACCAGTCTGTTCTCTGAGGGACAGTTTAAATACCCTGTGGGAGTGGTCTTGAGTATCTCTGGGGGAGGGACCATCATTTGGCGGGCTTTCTGAGATGCAGCAGGGTTTGGAGGGAGATGAGAGAGGGGTTTTGGGTGGGATTTCCACCATAACACAACCAATCTTACTGAATAAACAAAATTCCTAACCAAAACAAGTGGGCAAAACACTATCATACATACACACTCTGTTCTACTTAAAGAGCTGCTATGATCTAGTTTGCTGAGTGGGAGTTTGTGGCACACACTTTTAGTCCCACTACTGGGATGCAGACGCAGGAGGATCTCTGAAGGCTGGAGGCCAGCCTGGCCCACATAGTGAGTCCCGGACAGTCAGGGCCTCCAAGCAAAACCAGAATGGGAAGGTATTAATGATGGAGCATAATAAAGTGCATCACCAGACAGGCGAGTGCAGCGATGTGAACAGAGAAAAGGTCTGTCAAAGTGTGTCCCATTATGTATTCCCAGAATCACCTTAGGACTCCACAAACTATTTTCATTGAATAAATGAAATTTCAAAATAAAATTCACATAGAAACGAAATGCAGGCCATAAGTTTTAAAGACCAGTGACACTGAGAAATATATGTAGGATGAAGATTCTATAATGGGGTTGATACTGCAAGATGATTTGTAAGGGTTATATAAAACAATCCCCAGGAAGTTCTAGACAGGAAGAAATATTGGTCACTATGAAGACAAGTGCCACCTCCCATTATAGTGGTGTGAGTGACCCTGATGACACTTCAAGTGGCTAAGGGCCAACTTCCAACTGCCAAGCACATCAAATCTGCTAGGATGGGTCATCTTGGCCGTCGACTTGGTTGGACCTTGAATCAACTTAGAGAAGTACTGCCGG